AGCACAATGCGGGGCTCCATCTCACAACCCTGGGATCGTAACCTGAGCCAAAATCAAGATGCTTAACTAAGTGTACCACCCAAGCATTCCAATATAATCCCTTTTTCTTAATCTTAAGTTTTGTTTTTGTTTTTGTTTTTTTACCCCTTCCAAAGGGAAACGAAATCAGGAACACATTGGCTTAGGGATCAAGAGTCCCGGGTTCTGGGCCTTGCTACCACTAGTGTAGCATTACAGTAGATGGGCCATTTGACTCTTTCAGCCCCAGACAAATGCATTCCAAGAGCCTTTCTGGTCTGATGGCCTATGGATACATCTGTGGTGCATCTCATTTCTTTCTGAGTACATCAATGAGGATGTCAAAATACTTCTTAAAAGCTGGTCCAAGTTTGTCCTAAACTGCCAAGACCAGGTTTTCCTTGTTAACTTCGTGTTACCCTGTTGAGCCTAGACTGAACTGTGGAACACATCAAATGCTTCACTATTGAAGATTCCTTTATGGGCTGCTTAGTTGACACCAATTATTGGCTGCCGAGCAAAAGCACCATCAAGTTATTTAGTGGTCATTTTATGAATTTTTTTTAATTTTTTTAATGTTAATTTTTGAGAGAGAGACAGAGCATGAGCTGGGGAGGGGCAGAAAGAAAGGGAGATAAAGAACTGAAGCAGGCTCCAGGCTCTGAGCTAGCTGTCAGGACAGAGCCCGATGCGGGGCTCAAACTCACAAACCATGAGATTATGACCTGAGCTGAAATAGAACGCTCAACCAACTGAGCCACCCAGGCACCCCCTAAGAATGTGTTAAGAGCCTACTCGTTACTGGGGCTTATAGCAAAGTCAGTGTTGGTCTCTGTGTCCATGGGAATCATCTACTGAGGAAGATGGACACTGAGCAATTACTGAAATGATGAGGGAATGAGTATAGCAAGCTATTGGTAGCATCTTCCCTGAAGGAAGTGTCTAAGCTCAGACCTCAGAGTAGTTTGCCTAGTTTTGTTTTCTAGCTTTATTTTGCTACTTTAAGGAAATTTTGCTATTGGAAATAAGGTGTAAAGTATTCCATATATTTTTAAAGCAGTACTTTGGGTATTGATAAAAAGTAGGAATGAATGTGAAAGGTGTGTATGGTGTCCCTGGGCAGTTCTCTGAGCCTTTGATCAGGATGCCAGCTACATAAGACAGAGATCTTGAGTAATTTTCTTTACTATCCCTAGGGTCTAACACAGTAGGCACCCAGTAAATGAGAGAATAATGCCTCATGAATAATACTAGTTGAATTCAAGTGTGATTGCATATCTCTGTCGGTTCATCAAAGTGCATCTCTGACAAAAGAAACCAGTTTCTTGGTATAGGCAAGAGTTCTCACATAAGTCTACTTATTCTGGAGCAGCCTGAGGTCAAAATATGTGAACTAATTTTTTTCTTTTGCCAAGATGTGGAAAATTAAGGAAAAAAGATCATTTCATTAACTTTTTTCATATTTACTTATTTATTTTGAGAGGGAGAGAGTATACATGTGTTTGAATAGGGGAGGAGCAGAGAGAGAGGGAGAGCAAGAATCCCAAGCAGGCTCTATGTTGTCAGCACAGAGCCTGACACTGGGAGGGCTCAATCTCACGAACCCGTGAGATCATGACCTGAGCTGAAATCAAGAGTCAGACGCTTAACTGAGCCACCCAGTACCCGAGAACTTTTTTTTTTTTTACTTCAGAATATTAGGAAAAGCAGTCTTAAAGGACTTTGCTCTATATTGAACATATGTGGCTTTATTTAAAACAAGAAACGGGTACCTTGGCTGGCTCAGTCAGAGCATGCGACTCAATCTCCGGGTTTTGGGTTTGAGCCTTGTGTTGGGTGTGGAAATTATTTAAGAATAAAATCTTAAACAAACAATAATTGTCTTTGTTTTCTTTATTAGGTGGGAACTTGTTAAACTTTTCGAGACCCATATCAGCTGCCGGACAGGCCTTTGGGGGCACTGCTCTGGAGCTCAACTGGGCAGTGCTCACAAAAAAGATCAGTTACCAGAGAATTTGGGAGGGTGGTACTTCATTCTGGATGGAGTCCATCTTTTTTTTATTTCCCTAGGCAACTCCTTCAAGTTTAAAGATGATTTTGTACCATTTATGAACAGCCGTACAGCTTTTATGGCAAGTGATGAGCCCAATCTAGCAAGCACTTCAGGGATACTCAGAAGTGCTTGTTGAACTGCTTTAGGAATGAGGCCGTCAACTGCTAATGGTCATTAAGCCTAGCAGGTTCTGGATTCTTAGCATCTACATCATCCATTTTGGGGTTTACAATGACCTTTATCTGTATTTAACTTTTATATCTTTTTTTTTTTTTTTCTTTTTAAGTAGGCTCCACACCCAGCATGGAGTCCAATGCAGGGCTTGAACCCACACCCCTGAAATCAAGACCTGAGCTGAGATCAAGTGTTAGGCGCTTAATCTACTGGGCCACTCAAGTGCCCCTATGTTTAACTTTTAAATTTCATTGAACCCATATTTGGGGCCACATACTTTTTTACTTTTTTCTGGTGATGAAAGTTTTACATACATCTACTCTTCCCTCTAAGTTTGACACTATATATAAGTATATACATAAGTTTCACATATATCTACTCGTCCCCCGTAAGTTTGACTTTATATATAAGTACATATGAAAAGGTGTGTGTGTGTGTGTGTGTGTGTGTGTGTGTAGATACTGCAATGATCTGCATATGTTCCCTCCCCTCACCAAATTCATGCATTAAAATACTAACCCCCAAAGTTAAAGGTATTAGTAGGTGAGGCCTTTGGAAAAATTATTAAGTTCATGAAAATGGAGTAATAAAAAGTGCTCTTGTAAAAGAGATCCCACAGAGCTTTCTAGACCCTTCTACCATGTGAGGATACAACAAAAAGTCTGCAACTCAGAAGAGGACCTTTATTTGATCATGCTGGCACCTTGATCTTGGACTTCCCAGCCTCCAGAACTATATGAGAAATAATTTTTTGTTGTTTATAAGCTACCCAGTCTGTGGTATTTATAGCAGCCTGAACCAAAATTAATTATCTGATAGATAGATAGATAGATAGATAGATAGATAGATAGATAGATAGATGTTATAGAGGAGGAAAGAGGAAGAAGGAAAGAAAGCTATGTTACCCATTGTTCCAAAATCAGAAATTTCTACCTTTCCCAAAGAGTTTCTAGTGTCTGTCACTTAATGCCCTTAATGTAAAAAGATAAGCCATAGTTAAAAGATGTTTAAAGAACATGTTTCCTGGATGCTTTTCCAAGAAAAAGATTTTCCAGTATATACGAAGCTTCTGGTTTGGAATCTACTCACCAATATCCTTCCACTTATCCTTCAAAGATCTCTTATCCAGAGAGGAATGTGGGTGAAATTTTCTATAACTGATATCTTCCTCTGCCTTGTTATAGTCTAACTTTTAATACTTTTTAAAAATAATCTTTAGGGGCACCTGGGTGGCTCAGTTGGTTAAACGTCCAATTTCAGCTCAGGTCATGATCTCAGTTTGTGGGTTCGAGCCCCGCGTCAGGCTGTGTGCTGACAGCTAGCTCAGAGCCTGGAGTCTGTTTTGGATTCTGTGTCTCCCTCTCTCTCTGACCCTCCCCTGCTCACGCTGTCTCTCTCTCTCAGAAATAAAATAAAAACAAAATTTTTTTAAAGAAGATAGTCAAAAGAATTTACTAACAGATTGGGTGCAAGAAAAAAAGTCATGGATGAGTGACTCCAGGGCTTTTGTCCTGAGTAACTGGAGGTAGGGAATTGCCTTTTAGGAGCTGAGGAAGGCTGTGAAGGAGATGATCTTGAGTTTTGGCTGTAACTTTGAGATGCTATTAGACATCCAAGTACTAACTGTTAAATTAACTCTTGAAAATGACTTTCCTGAGTCTTTGCCTTAGACTGGAAAATATCAATCAAATGACAATCTGAAGATCTGCCTTCAAGAATTCTCTTAATTTCAGAGTGTCTAGCAGGCTCAGTCAGAAGAGCATATGACTCTCGATCTGAGGGTTGTGAGTTCCAGGCCCATGTTGGGTAGAGACATTGTTTTTATTTTTTTATTTTTTTTAATGTTTTATTTATTTCTAGGAGAGAGAGAGAGAGAGACAGCGTGAGCAGGGGAGGGGCAGAAAGAGGGAGTCACAGACTGAAACAGGCTCCAGGCTCTGAGCTGGCAGTCAGCACAGAGCCCGACGCGGGGCTCGAACCCAGGAACCGCGAGATCATGACCTAAGCGAAAGTCGGACGCTTAACCGACTAAGCCACCAAGGTGCCCCTAGAGATTGTTTTTAAAGAGAACAAAAATTTTAAGAATTCTTTTAGCTTCCATAAACCTCATTTTCCTTACCTGCAAAATGGGTTTAATAACCATCTCATAGATTATAAAAATGAAAATAGATATCTGTAAAGCATCTAGCTCAACAATATAGAGTCCAATAATGAAATAGTCGGTCAACTAATCTTAGTTCTCTTAAAACTGAGTTAAACGTGAGTTTCTACATCCTGTCAGTGAAAACAAACTGTACTCTCTTAAGGCCTTTGTAGCAAAGGCAAAGAACTACCAGTAAAGGTAAGAGTTCTAATCTGGATCTGCAAATGGCAGATTGGCAACTCCGCCCTTGATTTTGAAAAGCAGGAACAAGAACAAGAACAAGAACAAGAAGAAAAACAACAACAACAACAACGAAATACGCAGGAAATTAACACAGGGCGTGAGTGACAGGATACTTTAGAGACCACATTTCCCAGCAGCCCACGCGCAGTCAGACACTGTCGCGGATTGGATGCCTCCTCAGGAGGCGGGTGGTGTGGGGGAGGGGACAAGCGCGAGGTACTGTGGGTAGGAGACGGCCGTCGATCGAGGCGCCATTTTGTGAGGCAGCCGTACCCTGTTGGAGATTCTGGGGCACAAAACCGCTACTTCTGCCACTTCTGTCTCTCCTGGGGGTAAGTGCGGCAGCCTCCCGTAACGATTAGCGGTTCTTGCTTTTGAGGCAAGCCTCGTGCAGCCTCCCTGACAGCCGCAGGCGACAGCCGATCAGCCCCAGCCGTATCTCTGGTAGTTACCCGAAGCATTGGAGGGCCGCGCCCCTCCTCGCCGTCTGCGTTGTCAGCTCTTAGAGGGCGTCCTACCGCTCAGCGTGAGGCCCACTTTTTTCGGTCTCTTGACTGTACCCCTGCCGGAACGTATTTCCAACTTCCCAACGCAACTGAACGTGGAAGTGTCGCCTGTCCCTTGGGTACTCCTCGGGGGCGTCCGGCAGTTTTTAGCCGCCATCGCCCCGCAGCTGCACCTGAATCCGCCCTCTCCGGGAGGTTCGGTGAAGGCTGATCTGTGGGCTGGGAGCCTCTTGGGGTTCGGGAGGGGCATGTGCAGGCAGAAAGGGAAAGACGGACGCCGGAGTGGGTCGCTCAGGCTGTGGCGCCGCCATCTCGGCTGCAACACCCCACGGAGGTGGGTCCAGGCAGGCACTGCCGGGGGGACAAGGGACGGCATCTGAGATTCTGCCCAGGGCCTTATTTCTCCCAGGTGGTTCTCTTCCATTTATTTATTCAGCAGATGTTCGTTGAGCGCCTGCTCTGGAACAGGCGCCAGGGACGACTGTAACTAGTTTCTCAGACCTCGCACTCATCGAACGCGGTCTGTGTGATGTATTATCACCGCCGGGGCGCTGCGGGGCCTAGCTAGTCGCCTCAAGGGCTTGTGGTGGTTATTGTTACTGAAGAATTAAGTCGTGTCGAGGTTTGCTCTTGTCTGACTGAAATAGCTTTGGATCAGCCGTTGCGTTATAAATGTAGTAGATTTCAGTCAGCACAGCATCCTGGCCTCTAAAATGTTTAAAATTTTCATCAAAAATTTTGAATTTCATGCTGCTCCTTGTATTAATAAAGACACCCTGATTAATGTTTTAACCGTCAGCTACCCCATTGGAGTTGCTTTGATTAGAACCCAGGGAGCTGATTGCATCTCTGCCTTTTTTGCTTCGTAATCCTAAAGTAGAAGAGGAGCTTTTTGCCTGTATCCTCTTATGAGTTTGTTATCGAATAGAAAATCTAATATTTTAAAGTATGTTTTATCTTCCTGCTATGCTCATTTCAATAAAACCTTAGTGTGATTTTAATACTGACGGTGAACCCCACTTCCCCCCCACCACTTCCCTGCCCCCACCTTGGATAATCACTGTTAATAGTTTGATGAAATTCCAACCTTAGTAGTGTCCTAGCTTATGGAATGATGGCCTTAAGTGATCTCTCACATTTTTAGCGACCAACCTCTCTTGTTTCCTAGAAAAAACAAAATTTGAACCTTTTGGAGCAGCTTGCTACATCTTCAGTAGGACAATGGGTTCAGACAAACGGTAAGTTACTAGGGTACATGTTTTTGTTCAAAATATTTTGTTGAAGGAACTGAACTATTAAAATTGTTTGCTTATCAAACAAATATTTTTAAGTGTCTGTTTTGTGCCAGGCATTGCTGTTAGCACCTTCATAAGCCTTGCTTTCACAAGCAGGTGGTTTACTGAGAGAATTGAAGTACTGTGTGAACTCGGTCTTATAAGAGAAGTCGAGGGTGCTGCTAGAACACATAGAAAGCATGTGTTTTCCTGGAGACATCTAGGAAAGCTTCCTGGAGAAAGTATTCTCTAAAGTGAAGCCTGAGGATAAGTAAGAGTTAGCAAAGGAGGGCAGGGTGAAGTGGTTCACTGAGAGTTCCCAGTGTGGAAAACAGCCTATATGGAAGCCAGGAGATCATAGTCTACCACTTTACATGGTACCCGGCTGTTGCAAGCAATCAGTGAATGCCAGTTCTTGTTATTTTCTGCTCCATAGCAAGATGATCCAGATTTATAGAAGTTCTGGACCATGGGTTACATGAAAAATAAATGAGTTGAAAAATTGCTAAAGAATTAGTAGAAAATTAAGATGAAAGCATTTGACTGCTCTGTCATCTAGGGATTCTCCCACTCAGACCATTTGATTTAGATACAATACCTTTACTTACTCATTCCTCTTCAGTACTGATGCTGGTCCCAGTGGTAGATCAAATCAAATTAATGGCCCAGAGAGACTCAGGAAAAGTTCTTGTCATGTTATATTATTGTTTTAATGCTGTTAGCAGTCTGTGGTTCCAAATAACTTACTAAATTAATATTTACCCTTTTAGGGTTTCTAATCCCCATAGTTCATATCATGAAGTAATCCTAGATTACTTGTTCCGTTGGTTTCTTTTTATTTATATACCCTAAATGAGGCCCTTCTAAGCCTTTCCTTTGTCTTATCCTTACATAGTAGTTTTATGAACCTTATAAAAGAACTAGATCTGTGGTCAAATGGGTTTAAGCCTCTTATTACTAGATTTTCCTGTGAGACTTAATGCTGCCCAGTAACCAGAAATAAACCAGATGTTCTAGGAAATAATGTTCTCTGATGGTGCTAGGTATGTCCAACAAATGAACTTAGTTAACTAAGTTAAGGAAAAAAAACTAATTTAATTCATCCAGGTTGTTGGTCCATTTCCCAGTAGTGTGATACCCTGGAGAGTGGATGAGTCAGAACATACTCTCCTTTGAAATTGGGTGAAATGCTAAAAATTGCTTTCTTCCTATTTTTGATCACTAAAAACTGAATCAGGGAAGAAGGGGGTGATGTGTGTGTAGACTACAAGCTTGGGAATACACAGGATACACTTGGACACCCTGACCTTTTAAAAAAAAAAATTACACCCAGTCATTTTGATACACATATTTTCCAATTTAGCATGATTTCCTGAAAGTTATCTTTGCCTTTAAGGGATGTAGATGTTTTCCTAGTGATTGTCTTTATCAACTGGATATTTTAAACCATTTTGATATCTTATAAACTGATCTGTAAGAGTGTGTGTTTTCAGTCATGTTTTGTAAAGGTATAAAGTGTGATTTACTTCAGAGTAAATGAAAATTATTTTTCCTGGCAGAGTGAGTAGAACAGAGCGTAGTGGAAGGTACGGTTCCATCATAGACAGGGATGACCGGGATGAGCGTGAATCCAGAAGCAGGCGGAGGGACTCAGATTACAAAAGATCTAGTGATGATCGGAGGGGCGACAGATACGACGACTACCGAGACTATGATAGCCCAGAGGTAAGTGGTCAGCAGTTGGAATGAAATAGTTAGATTATGAATTACATGCACAAAGCCTTTAAGATTCTGGAAATGAAATAAGTATACCAAGTGTAGAACTTTCTCTTGAGTATTAAATTCAAACTCTGTTATTCTGAAATCTATTGAGATGACTCTAACCCTCAAAGACAACTGAGCCTCTGATAATAGAAATACTGGCCAGGATTTACGTGGGGCTCACCATGCACCAAGGCACTCTTTTGAGCACTTGACTTACATGAATTCGTGTAGGTCTCACTACAACTTATGGTACATGTCTTCCCATTTTAAAGATGAGGCTATTGGAGCATAATATACCAATACAGCACTGTGCCTCAGATGCTACTTTTAAAAGTTGTGGTTTCAGTCAGCATAGTGTTTTCCTCATTGTTTCCATATGTAAATGTAGCTTTGTTTAGAAATAATTGTGCTACCCATATAATTTTGCAGGTTTTTTTTCATACATACAATCTTCATATTGTAACAGGTAATGTGGTATTTCACTGCGTGTTAGTGTACTTACTGTACAGTGAGTTGTTAAACCATTCTTCCTGAACTAATGGTTATGCCCCCCCCCCCCATTTTAGAAACACTACAATGAACATCCATTATAGAGTTCCAATATCCTCTCTGTTCTTAAAGATAAATTCCTAGGAGTAGAGGGCCTGGATCAAAGAGTATAATAAACCCAGTGTGATTTTAATTGTAATTTTATTTATTATAAATCAGAGAGAACGCGAAAGAAGGAACAGTGACCGATCCGAAGATGGCTACCATTCAGATGGTGACTATGGCGAGCATGACTACAGGCATGACATCAGTGATGAGAGGGAGAGCAAGACCATCATGCTGCGCGGCCTTCCCATCACCATCACAGAGAGCGATGTAAGGGGAGATAGCAGTTACAATGAGCAGTCCAGTAGGCACAGCTGATTTGGAGCTTCTGCGATTTTTTTGTGCCACTGTTTTATCTCAAGCTAACATCTCAGCTAGTGAAGTTTATTTCTCTCTTTAGGAAGGAGTTCTTTCAAATTCGTTCAGAAGTTAAGTACCATTTATATTTAGGCTTTGAAGCTCAATGTAGAGGAGGTCTTCTTCCTTCAGGAGCCCTTAGAACGTAGTCAGTACACTTTTATTGAATTGGTTACTTATTCAGTGAGGATGTATTAGCAAAACATTTTCTTCATGATCTGAGCACCTTTGATTTGATGAAAATTACACTATCCATTTGAGACCTGAGAACCCTGTCAAAAAGGAAGGCACTTCCCTGACTCCCCACTCCTCGGACTCGCCAACAAGGGCCTTGGTATACTGGGCACTACCTGATTTCTACTGGCATCTTTGGCCCTTACCCATTCCTTCTAGCGACATCCACCATCTGCCTTCCCTTGCAAACCCTTCAAATACGTTCATTGTTCTACCAGTGTGCCTTTTTCTGCTTGAAGTCTCCATTATGTGAAGCCTTCCCTGATCTACTAGGCAGATTGGTACTGGAAGAGGGCCTGTTGAAGGAGGTTCTGCAGAATGTCTCTGGGGGACAAATAAAGAAAAAGGGGGTTGCCTGTCTGACTCAGTTGGTAGAGCATACTACTCTTGATCTTGGGATTGTGAGTTCAAGCCCCACGTTGGGAGTAGGGATTGTTACTTAAAGTTTACTTATTTATTTTGAGAGAGAGAGAACATAACCAGGGGAGGGGCAGAGAGAATCCCAAGCAGACTGTACTGTCAGCTTCTTGGAGCATGATTTAGGGCTGGAACTCATGATGCTGAGATCATGACATAAGCTGAAACCAAGAATTGGACTCTTAGCCAACTGAGCCACCCAGGTGGCCCGGAATAGAGATTTAAAAAAAATTTTTTTTTGATGTTTATTTTTGAGACAGAGACAAAGAGAGACAGAGTGTGAGCTGGAGAGGGGCAGAGAGGGAGACAGAGTCTGAAGCAGGCTCCAGGCTCCAAGCTGTCAGCACAGAGCCCAGTGTGAGGCTCGAACCCATGAACTGTGAGATCACGACCTGAGCTGAAGTCAGACATTTAACCAACTGCGCCACCCAGGCGCGCGCCCCCCCTTCTTTTTTAATGTCTCTGGAGGTTTAAAGGAGGTTTTACTAGTGGAGGGTAAAGAAGGGCTCCAGGGAGATCTTAGTTGAACAGATTCTTGAAGGATAGAAATGTTTTGGGTCTGGTGGAGAACTAGGGGAAAGGTGTAATAGATTGTATTTCCAGGCAGTAGGGTGACATAAGCACACCTGGGAATAGAAAGATTCTTAATCTAGTCAAGGCCTTGAACCAGGTTGATTTGGCTAAGGTTAAAGGCTTTTGGCAGTGGAGAGGGAGGTGGCAAGGTGCTGTTGAGGCCAGGTGCTGGAATCGTTAAAAGCCCAGCTAAGCATAAAGTTACTGGGACACCTAGGTGGCTCAGTCAGTGTAAACACTAGAGCATCTGACTTTTTTTTTTTTTTTTTTTTAATGTTTTATTTATTTCTGAGAGAGAGAGAGTGCGTGAGGAGGGGAGGGTCAGAGAGAGAGGGAGACACAACCCAAAACAGGCTCCAGGCTCTGAGCTGGCTGTCAGCACAGAGCCCAACGCGGGGCTTGAACCCTTGAACCGCGAGATAATGACCTGAGCTGAAGTCGGACACTTAACCGACTAAGCCACCCAGGCGCCCCTGGAGCATCTGACTCTTGATGTCAGCTCAGGTCATGATCCCAGTGTCATGGGATCGAGCCCCATGTTGGGCTCCATGCTGAGCATGGAGCCTGCTTGAGTCTCTCTCTTTCTCCCTCTGTCCCTCTCCCCCACTTGCACATGCATGATTGCACATGAGCGTACTCTCTCTCAAATAAAATTTGAAAAACTAAAAAACAAAACTAAGGGCTTTGCCTGGTAGCAAAAGCTGTGCAAGTTAGAATGTTGGAGGAAAGAATGGTAGTGAGTAGACAGGGAAGGCAGAGCTGAGGACAGGTAGGGGCAGCAGTGGGCGTATAGAGTAAGAGATGCAGGAAATCCTGCAGGAGTCAATTTTGGAAAGTTTGCTTGTTAAGCAGTTTGTTCCCTTGAATAGTCTGCTGAGCTGTGATCCTGGGAGTCTGCAGAGGAAGTGAGTAGCTTGGGGAAGCAGTGCTCTAGCTGACTTCTGGGGACCTTCCTGCTGGCAGTGAAACAAGATTGTAATGCTTTTGTATTTCAGGCTTCTTCAGAGAAAATTAGAATTGCCTACCATAAGAAGGCTGGTTTTCAAAGTAGAATTTCTCAGGTCCCCAAATTATGCAGTAGTAGCAGATTCACTTGTTGAGATTTTTAAAATATTTTAAAATTATACTATTTAATCTCCTGGACTTCAGTTTATCATTTTCATTATTGATTGTCTTTTTAGTTTAGCCCTCCCTCCCACTGGCTGACAAACTCCTACAGTAACTATCTTTAGTTACTATGTTACTATGTGTTACTATTATCAATACTTTTATAGTAACTATAGTTATTCTGATGACTAACTTTTTAGTTACTATGTTACTAAGCATGGATCTGAGTCACATGCTGGGTTTTGGCTCTATGTAGAACTTCTACTCTGTGGAAAAAATAGACATAGTTGATTCTCTTTATTCGGGGTTGTTATGGTCAGTTTATAAAGTCACTGTGAATAGAATACTGAATCATCACTCCTAGAGAAAATACAAAGTTAGGTTCCTCTGAGCCTCTGGTCACAACATTTTCATCAACAGATCAATACATAACCTTGTTTTAGGTGCATTTGGGTTTAGATATACCTTATTTAATATATATTGTTGATTCATAAACCTTGAACTCATATCCAGCAACACTTACAACTTGTGCCTGAATGAGGCTTATGTTACATATTTTTTCTTTTTTTTTTTTTTTTTTTGTTACATATTTTTTCTATAAGGGACATCACAGCCTTGCGTTTAGTAACAGTAGACAGAACTTCAGTAGTATATTTGGAGAGCCATTTTGTTTATTTATCTTTAATTTTTTAATTTTAGAACACAAATAGGGGAGATGGGCAAAGGGAGAGACAAAATTTTAAGCAGGCGCCACTCTCAGCTCAGAACCCAACGCAGAGCTTGACCCCATGACCCTGAGATCATGACCTGAGCCAAAATCAAAAGTTGATGCTCAACTAACTGAGTCACCCAAGCACCCTGGGAGAGCCATTTTAGATCGTGAAATCACCAGGGTGCCTGGCTGGCTTTGTTGGGAGAACATGCCACTCTTAATCTCCGGAGTTGTGAGTTTAAGCCCCATGTTGGGCATACAGATTACTTAAAAGCAAAACAAAACAACTACATAGATCTGTAGATGGTGAAATCAACAAAAAGTACGAAAATGTAACATACTTGGCACTAAATAGATTGTGAAAAAGACATTTACTTACGTTAAGAAAGCTGAAACAAGGCAGACCATCGCCCTAGCCTGGGACACGTGCATCAAGTGACTCAAATCTTACCTTCCCCTGCATATGTCCACAGATGAATTGGAAGTGCCAAAAGTATTGATTTGGAGTTATAAACTTTAGTGAATGTGCAAATATGGAATGCACAAATAATAAGGATCGACAGTGTATAATCCCATTGCCTTTGCAGTTAATTGTAGAAAGTTGGAGACTTTGTTTCATAAATTTGGCCCTGATTTTTCTTTTTTCCTAGGAGTATTGCTACCTGGCATGATTGATAAAGAGATTAGTGCATTTCATTGCCCTTTGTAGTATGGGCTTGGTCTAACATCAATAACAAACCTTCCAGCCAAAATTCATTCTTCTAAGACCAATTATTACTTACCTATTTGTATTTTATTTTTCTTTTAATGTTTTATTTTTGAGAAAGAGAGAGAGAGAATTTGAGCAGGGGAGGGGTACAGACAGAATCCAAAGCAGGCTCCGGGCTCTGAGCTGTCAGCACAGAGCCCGACACGGAGCTCAAACTCACAAACCGTGAGATCATGACCTGAGCTGAAAAGTCAGATGTTCAACCGACTGAGCCACTCAGGCGCCCCCAAAATATTGTTTATTTTGATTTATTAGGAGCCTAGGAACGTTATGAGCTTTATTAGTTTTCACCACTAATGTAAATAGAAGAAAATTATTTTTCATATTGTGCAAAATGTGTATGAGAGAGTTTCTTGTGTTTTGGGTATTGATTCTTGATCATATACTTCAGAGGACAATAGCATATCCTTTTCCCCTTCTAAATTTCATTTTCTTGTCCTTTAAACAAAGGACAGCAAAGTGAGACTTAAAAGAGAAGTTTGCAGGACAGCATGCCATGGGCAAGACTGTTTATCATAACATAAATACTTGTATCTGAGGGAAGTTCCCAGGCAACATATAAAGAATGACTTTGAAGCATACATTTCATTTGTATGAGAAGCGTTCCCTTTTTTATTCTGTTTTTAGGATAATTGCATTTTGATGATAGAAGTTAAAAACTTGACTGATTAAAGCAGTTGATGCAGTTCCTGGTCCTTGAATTTTTTTTGGTGTGGAATAGTTTGTGGCTGAAGCTTTAACTATAAACATGTAAAACTCTGCAGATTCGAGAAATGATGGAGTCCTTTGAAGGCCCTCAGCCTGCGGATGTGAGGCTGATGAAGAGGAAAACAGGTGAGAGCTTGCATAGTTCCAGCGGTTCTGGCTCTCCTCTTCCCCATTCCCACCTCAGCCCCTAAAGACCATCCTGATTCCCCCAGTCTTCAAGCACATGAATTCAGAATGAAAGGTTTGCCATGGCTAAGGAATGTGACTCTTTGAAAACGATATTAGAGAGCACCTGAGGACCTTTTTAAAAACTTTGTTTTTAAGGGCTTTTTTTTTCCTTCGGTAAGTAGTGATTTATAAACTCCTTGTTTGACTGTTTGTAGTCGGTTGCATGGTTACTTTTTAAGCGTGGAATCAAATCGAGTGGCATTTAGTTCAGGCGGCTTGGTTCCTTGCCATGGCAAAGTATCAAGAAGATCCCCAAGTCAAGTCACATTTGTAAAGCTGCTTCCCAATTGGCTTTGTCACGCAGTGTTGAAGCAGTGGGAGAGAGATTCACCTGTTATAAAGGAACTGACTAACACGAGTATCCCGTCTATATCTGAATGCTGTCTCTAGGTGTAAGCCGTGGTTTCGCCTTCGTGGAGTTTTATCACTTGCAAGATGCTACCAGCTGGATGGAAGCCAATCAGGTTGCTTCACTCACCAAGTCTAGATATTCATGAAAATGGAACAAGTCTGTACAATTTAAAAACAAAAAACAAAAAAAAAGGTTGAAGGAGTGGTTTGTTCCAAAGGAGTGATTTTTTTTTTTAAAGAAAAGCTTTGTATATATTAAAATTGATACTAGAATAAATACAGCAGCAAGGACTGCATTGCAGAGTTTGTTCTGCCTTTAAACATGGCTGCCTGGCAGGGCTTTGTTAATCACTGAATACCTGCCTGATGATTACCAAAACATCTTAATGTTCTCTTTTCCCCTGTTGATTATGTTCCTATTCATTATGTCTGTTGAGAGTAATCTTAAAATGCCCAACTCTCGATTTGACAGTGAAGAGGATATAGTAGAAGTCTGCTACTGGCATTTTATAAGTAATTCCTTATTTCTGCTTGGAGACTACAAGCCTCTTGGAGGCATAGCTTCATATGGGTCTTCAGGACTATTTAAGGACCTCATGGAATTTATGAACAATAAGTCTAATGAGATTAGCCTGGGAGCTAGTGTCCTGCTGCTGTCTAATCTAGTTAAACTGGCATTAACATTCTAATCTCCCTGAGAATGCCTTTTAAAGTCCGTTCAAAGCAAATCATTGATGGTTCTTTGATGTAGCGTTAACTGAAGTGTTCCACAGTTTGTCAAGAAAACGGTCAGTACTTGGCACTTCAGTAACATTTTTTGCCAGAACTCCAAAGCACAGTATTGAATGCCTTAACCAAATGCATTCTCGGAAGTTTGCTTAACTCATTATGTTGCTTTTCTGCAGCATTTTATTTGTCACCCATAAGTAAGAGTTATATTCTTTAGTATAACAAGACTCACTAATGAGGGTATCATTTTGATTTATTTGTTAGATTTTTAAGCCTCTCATTTTCTGAACCCAGAGGTGACAGCCTCTTATAAAAGTGAAGCTTCATTCATTTCATACCATGGACACCATCCTAGTAAATACAGAATATAAACACAAGCTTCATGTGAGTCTGCTTTCTTGATGTTACAGCATCTTTTGATGCAGTGGAGGTATCAGAATGACTTGCCTGGGAGTTTTAAACTCCAAAGAAATTAAAGCCCACAAAACATTTTAAAAGTCTTCACAATTTTAATGTATACAAAGCTAAGTTACTGTGTAATATTTTATTACAGCTCAAATTCACTCCAGAAATAAAAGGCTAATAGGATTAGGGACTCAGTGATAGTTTGGAGTCTCCCCCAGCACACACCCCTCCTACTGGGATGATCTGTTGACATATCTCCCAGCTTCATTTTTGTTTCTGTACAACACAGTGAGTGGATGGCCCTTCAGCTCTTTCCTTCTTGGCCAGACATGCAGTCTTGCCTTTAGATATTGCAGAGACAACATTCACAGCATGTCTTAACTCTTCCAGGATTTGCAAGAACCAAATTGCTCAACAGTATGTATATTTAGAGGGGTTAGACTCCTTTAAAAAATCTGGATATCTAACCTCCTACTAAATCTGTTCTGATAGTGTCAAAACATCCTACACCCTCCCCCTCTTGCCCCTCCATAAAAAGCAAAAGAAAAGATGCTCCTGTTAAATGAAGGCTCTTTGGGGGCAGGTGCTGGATATACTCTTGGCTAGACTGATTGAGCTTGGAGTTTTGACCTTCAAAGTTGATTCCCTTTTAGTCACATGGTTGACTTGAAGGTTAAGGTGGTGTATGCATTTATAAACTCTTCCGACCCCCCTGAAGAAACTTCATTGGCCTCCTGGTTACTCATCTTGAAGAGAGTACCATGTATTTCAGTGAAAAACACATCCATCGCCTAGGACATGACATGGTTTCAGTTGGCAGGAAGAAATCTCATTTAGCTGTTTTAGAGTGGATGGCATTCAGAATAGGCCCTCCTAAGAAAAAGTTGTAACCAGATTCCCTTTAAAAATGAGTTCCCCTCCCCTCGTCCCCCAGAGGACACATGCTGAAGCAGGAGTTTGGGGAAAGGGGAAATAGAAAGGCTTTTACTTTACTTAAGGACGGGGGACTGGGGGAGAAGTGAAGCGAAGCCCAAGGACACCATGCTGAGGCTAAAGTAGGAGGCAATCTCAGAACTGGGAGAGTTGTGTCTTCTGCTTTTTGAAATAGACTGTCACTCTCAGGCAGCCTGGCAATGCTGAATGTTAGGACTTCTGTCTCTGCTGGAGACACGGCCTGGTGCATGTCAGCGGTTAGAGTTTGGCAGCTTTCTCAGCACTCCCTGACTCCGTTTACCTTTACTCCGCATCCCATTCTCTTACTGCCTATCTGAAGGATTGGATGGGCAGAGTATAGGTGGCGGTGGTTGGTCCTCCCCGTATGTTGTCCATTTAATTCCAGAGCACTGATTTTTCCGAAGTGTGCTCTGCCCTGGGAAAATGGACACATGTTTCTCACAATGGGAATAACTAATTACTTCTTTTTTTACAGAAAAAGCTGGTGATTCAAGGAAAGCACATTGCGATGCACTATAGCAATCCCAGGCCTAAGTTTGAAGATTGGCTTTGTAACAAGGTAAGCATATGTTCTTCCCAAATAGGCCAGGCTCCTTTGAGTTTTGTTTTCTCTTTGTCTGTCTGAACAAGGAAACTAGAAAGTGTACAATCGCCACCTTTTATCAGAGGGACATTTTCCTGGTTTGTGACTTTTCTTTTTGTACTAGAATCCCTAGAACGCTAGAGATTTTATTAAGATCCAGGTTCTGGGATGCTTCAGTGGCTCAGTCAGTTAAGCCTCTGGCTTCAGCTCAGGTCGCGATCTCAAAGTTCACGAGTTTGAGCCCCACATTGGCCTCTGTGCTGACAGCTCAGATTCTGTGTCTCCCTCTCTCTGCCCCTCCCCTGCTCACACTGTCTCTGTCTCTGTCTCTCTCTCTCTCTCAAAAATATTAAAAAAAAAAGAAAAGACCTTGGTTCTGGGTTGCCTGGGTGGCTCAGTTGGTTGAGCGTCTGGCTCTTGATTTTAGCCCAGGTCATGGTCTCACAGTTCATGGGGTCAAGCCCCACATTGGCTCTGAGCTGACAGCATGGAGCCTGCTTGGAATTCTCTCTCTCCACCTCTCTCTACACCTTCTCTACTCATGCTCACTTGCTCTGACTTCAAAATAAGTAAATAAACATTTTGGAAAAAGAAAGATCATGTTCTAAGCCCAGTGTTCAATTAAGATTTTAGGTTTGTTCCACTTTACTATTTCTTGATCTTTTTAGAACTCTCAACTTGTGGCACAGTCTCTTAATTATTTAACAAAATCCTTCTGACCCTGCTCAAGTTATGTAAGATCCGTTATGGTCCTATTAGGGCACCCGGCTGTCTCATTCGGTAGAGCATGCACCTCAGGGTTGTAAGTTCAAGCCCCACATCAGGCATAGAGTTTACTTAAAAAAATAATAAAAGTAATTAAAAGAAATTCAAAAACAAAAATAGTGTAGTCCTGTCAGCATTGCACCATTTTGAGGTTGCCATTCTGAGAGTACTCCCCAGATGGTTTGTTCTTTATGTGTCCTGTTTCCAGAAGGGGTCTTGACCATATTCCATTCACATTGTGCTTGTGTGTATAGAGGTGTCCATATGGAGAGTGTGCTTTTGATAGAAGAACAGATTTCACCACTGCTTGTTGTAGGGTTTTTGGGAGAACTTAAACTTTCCCCTAACTTGATAAAAAGGGAATTCTACTTCAGATTATGTCAAGATTTGTTTCTCTTGTTAGAATTCACATAGTGAAACATTTTACATTTTAAATATTTAGGTGAATGCCCCTGTGTCTTGTTTGCATGTTATTACTCTCTGCTCTTTTATTTGATTATTGGGACTTATTCATAGCCCTGTAGCCCTAACCCACCTCGTTACTAGTAAGCCTGGCCTACTATGAGAAATAATTACAGAGAAAACTTTTTTTCTTCCAGTGCTGCCTTAACAATTTCAGGAAAAGACTAAAATGCTTCCGATGTGGAGCGGACAAGTTTGGTAAGCCCAAACTCAGCTATTTGGAATATGCATTTAAAAACCTGACTAATTAGGGGTCACCTGAGTGGCTTAGTTGGTTGAGTGTCCAGCTCTTGTTTTTGGCTCAGGTCATGATCTCATAGTTCATGGGTTTGAGCCCCAAGTTGGGTTCCATGCTGGTAGCGCACCCCTGCATGCTTGCTCTCTCTCAAACATAAACTTAAAAAAACAAACAACCTGATTAATTAGGTTGTCTGCAAACCTGAGTAAAAGTATAGATTGTAAAGCATTCCAATGAGTAATTCAAGTATTTTCTGTAAACTTGGCTTACCTTATGTTAGGTAGATGCTTCTGATGGTTGTGGGTGTAGAACCTTTATTTTCCAAAATTAAGCCTGCTCACCTGGTTTATATTCTGCATCTGCTATTCTTTAGTACTGAGGTAATGTCAATCCTCCCCTGGCCCAATTTTTGCATTCCACATGTATCATGTCAAAATTAATAATGTTTTAGTATAGTCACAGATGTTTAAAAAAAATGGCTGCAAAAAAAAAAAAAAAAAATGGCTGCTACATTTACTTAAATTTAAAACTTCAGGGTTTGAATGTATTTCTTTACTAAAAATACACTGGTTTATTATTTGTTTTCAGTAACTGAGTCCCCCTGCCTTCTTCCCTTCTTGTAGACTCTGAACAGGAAGTGCCCCCTGGAACCACAGAATCTGTTCAGTCTGTGGATTACTACTGTGACAGTAAGTTCTAGTATGCTCTTTTGGCCCTTATGGTAGTAGTTGACCTCAGTTGGGAGTTTTTGTGCTATACTTTTTTAATGAACAACATTAGCTTCAGTTAGTCTTATGAAAGATTGGTCTTTAGAATCTTCTCTATGTCAAAGTGCAAGACATACTAGGAACCTCCCAAAATGGATTTATGTATTTGTAGTTGAGCCTGCCTTCCAAAGCATTGGTGGTGGGAATGTATATAAATGTTATTTGTCTCTTTTTCCCCAGCAATCATACTTAGAAACATAGCCCCGCACACTGTGGTGGATTCCATCATGACAGCACTGTCTCCCTACGCATCCTTAGCTGTCAATAACATTCGCCTCATAAAGGATAAACAGACCCAGCAGAACAGAGGATTCGCATTTGTGCAGCTGTCTTCTGCAATGGTGAGCTCACTGAATCTTTTCTTTTAAAAAGAAACTGGGCTTGGAGCGCCTGGGTGGCTTAGTCGGTTAGGCAGCCAACACTGAGCGTGGAGCCTGCTCGAGATTCTGTTTCTCCCGCTGTACCTCTCACCTGCTCATGTTCTCTCTCTCTCTCTCTCTCTCTAAAATAAAATAAATTCTGGGGCACCTGGGTGGCTCAGTGGGTAAGCCTCCGACTGTTGATTTCGGCTCAGGTCATGATCTTATGGTTTATGGGTTGGAGCCCTGCATTGGGCTCTGTGCTAACAGCATGCAGCCTGCTTGGGATTCTCTCTCTTCTTCTCTCTCTCTCTCTGCCCTTTCTTCCTCACTCAGTTGCTCACTCTGTCTCTCAAAAATAAACATTAAAATTTTTTTTTAAGTAAATAAATTTTAAAAACTGGGCTTTGGGAGACAAATGTGGTCATATAATTGTAGTACTCTGTAAGGCTCCTGGAGCCCAGAGTTTAAGACTGCATAATGATAGTTACTGTAGTGCTAAATTAGAGGACCAGTTACTTTGATAAGTGGTAAAAATAATGCATACACCTATGAATAATTGGTAGAACTGAAGTTTTGAGCCATACTTTTTAGAACAATTTATTAGCGTTTACTCCTTTTTTTTTTTTTAATGTTTTATTTATTTTTGAGAGAGCGGTAGAGACAGCGAGAGCAGGGGAGGGTCAGAGAGCGAGGGAGACACAGAATTAGAAGCAGGCTCCAGGCTTTGAGCTGTCAGCACAGAGCCTGACACAAGGCTTGAACCCACGAACCATGAGATCATGACCTGTGCTGAAGTCGGATGCTCAACCGACTTCACCCAGGCGCCCCAGCATTTACTCCTTTAATAACATGGAATGCTTTCATGTGCTGGAGGAGAGAGAGCTGTATTTTTTCCTTGACGTTTCATGTGCACAAACAATTAGGAGTTACTGTTCTTTTTTAATAGAAAGCTATATTTTTTTTTAATGGGGTGGGTGGTAGGGAGAGATTTTTAATTATAGGACAAAACGGTCTTAACATTCTCCTTCAGGATGCCTCTCAGCTTCTTCAGATATTGCAGAGTCTCCATCCTCCTTTGAAAATTGACGGCAAAACTATTGGGGTTGATTTTGCGAAAAGTGCCAGAAAGTGAGTAGCTTCAGTGTCCTTATTTCAAACTGCTGTACTTGCACACTTGCCCAGGGATGCTTTGCTGACTGTACCCTAAGCCCATGTTCTTCTCGTTGAGACACGATCCTCCCTGGTTGCCAAGTCAGGAGGGAGTCCGTTTTCTTTCTTCTCTTAAAGCATACTCTTTTCTGGCCTGAGGAACCAGTTGCTGGAAAACTACAAAGCAGGACAAAGGCAGACATGGCAGATGGGTTGAGAATATGTGCTATGCAAACAGCTTTAAGATAGTGCAAACCCATCTGGAAATAATCTTTTCCTTCCAGAATAGCATGCTACTAGCTGTATAGAGAGCTTTGGTCTAGAGATGTAAGTGTCCCATTTGTAGTGTCATTACTCGTCCAGCAGCTACCTAACTAGATGGCAGGATACAGAGTAAAACGGTGACCCTACAGAGACATTTGCCCACTGAGGAATTGGCCTATGGAGACCCCTTCCTGCTCTGAAATAAGGCCTTGCTAGCACTTGAGAGCTCCCAACAAAGGCTAGAGTGAATTTCTGTTTCCTTGACATTCGGGGGGCACACATTGGGAGCATACTGAGGATGGAATCACATGATTGGATTTTTGTGGTTTCAGAGACTTGGTCCTCCCAGATGGTAACCGGGTCAGCGCCTTCTCTGTGGCTAGTACAGCCATTGCTGCAGCTCAGTGGTCATCCACCCAGGTAAGATGAAGCATATTTTTTGTCAAAGTAGTGTGTTGGTGGTGCCCAAATTCATAGAAGTAGTGCCTTAGAAGCTCTCTAAGGACGGTTTTAAGGAATACTTCTTGTGTTCTTTCCTTGATGTCTACTAAGCTTGCCTGTGTGTTCTCTTTTGACATGCTGTAGTCTCAGAGTGGTGAAGGAGGCAATGTTGACTACAGTTACCTGCAGCCAGGCCAAGATGGCTATGCCCAGTATGCTCAGGTAGGTAGATCTGACCAATATCCAACTTCTCTCCAGAGCAGACTACCTGAGAATAGCAGCTTTTAACAGTGGGCTTTTCTTCAGTACTCACAGGATTACCAGCAGTTTTATCAGCAACAGACTGGAGCATTGGAATCTGATGCGTCATCTGCATCAGGTAGTAAACTTCATCTCTGTTTTACCTTTTGTTTAAGTAGCTGTGGTTGAAGAGATAGAACTAGATGTTCTTGGTGCTTGGATGGCTCAGTTGGTTAAGCGTTGATTTCCCGGTCATTAGATTGAGCCCTGTGTTGGACTCTGTGCTGTTAGCGTAGAGCCTGCTTGGGATTCTCTCTCTCTGTCCCTCCCCTGTGTGGGCATGCTCGCTCGCTCTCGCTCTCTCTCTCTCTCTCAAAACAAATAAATTAAAAAAACAAAACAAAATATATGTTCTAACTAGATCCCAAGCCAAGAGTCCATTTCCCTGCAAGGTGGGGGCCGGGGGGAGTGCACATTCAGCATTGTCTCCATGTGCCTAAGGTTCTGGGGAAGATTAGGACTACTTGATGTTTGTTGAGAGTGGATAGTAACCTCTTTAGAGACCCATGTTGTGAGGAGTATTCATTCTTGGAATTCAGCTTTGTATCTCTCCTCTCTTTGTTGTTTGGAATCATGGGTGCCCACATAGATTCAAATGAGCAGATTGGGTATGGCCCTAGAGTCTGGTGACTAGAAATCAATCACAAGGATCATTATAAGAAGCCTTTGCTTTCCTTTTTGTTGTAGACTTATAAAAGCCTTACGGTTAAATCTTTTCTCAACCCGAGACCAGATACAGATTCTTCTCTTCCTTTTTCTTAGTTGTCATACAGAATATTTAACTTTGTGACATGGTAGGATTATAAAAATGAAAATGTCTTAGGTTCCAGGATGTTTAGTAGGATTTAGATTATTAAGAACTGACATATCAGGGCACCTGGGTGGCTCAGTTGGTTGAGCATTGGACTCTTCATTTTGGCTCAGGTCATAATCCCAGGGTCTTGGGATCAAGCCCTACATCAGGCTCCTTGCTGAGCGTGGAATCTGCTTAAGATTCTTTCTCCCTTTGTGCCTGCTCCCCGCTTAAGCACACGCACATACATTCTCACTTGCTGTCTCTAAAAATTAAAAAAATAGGGGCGCCTGGGTGGCTCAGTCAGTTAAGTGACCGACTTTGGCTCAGGTCGTAATCTCATGGTTCATGGGTTTGAGCCCCACCTCAGGCTCTCTGCTGACAACTCAGAGCCTGGAGCCTGCTTTGGATTCTGTGTTTCTCTCTCTCTCTCTCTCTCTCTCTCTCTCTCAATCTATATATATAGATATATGGATAATATATAGAGATATCTATCTAGAAATGGAGATTATCTATCTGTAGATGGATCTCTCTATATATATCTATAGATCTCTCTCTATATATCTATATATCTATCTGTATATATATCTATGTCTATCTCTATCTCTTTCACTGCCCCTTCCTCTGTCCCTTCGCCACTCATGCTCTGTCTGTATCTCTCCAAAAAAATAATAATAACAAAAATTCAAAATAAAAATAAAATGAACTGACCTCAAAAAGACAGAAGGCTAGTTTTGGGTATTAACAGATAAAGATGTTGGCTTGGAGTTCAGTGCCTTGGCCCTTCCTAACCCTCGTATATCATTTGTCATCAGGCACAGCAGTGACCACCACCTCAGCGGCTGTAGTGTCCCAGAGTCCCCAGCTGTATAATCAGACCTCCAATCCGCCTGGCTCTCCGGTAATCCTGTCGTCCTAAATACAGAACTGGTGACTGTTGGGGAAACTTTGTTTTGCTGTACAAGTATTATCCTTTCCTGCTGTTTGAGCTAGGATTGAATAATACACAGACATTCCAACCTTACTTCTCTCTGTCTGGTAGAATTAGGTAATGAAATAATTTGGGGTATGTATTTAAAACATAGGATTCCAAACAAGGTGTATTTATATATTTTCTGCATGCTTCGACTTGACCTTTAGGAAGAAAGTTGTCAGCATGTGTTTTGTTCAAGGATTGCCTTAGATCATTGCTACAGTGTGTCTGTCAGGGGAGCCCTTCCTCCTGGATGATTGCAGTGATTTAGTTCTCTTAAGAGGCTTTACAGTTGAAATTATATTGAAGCTGCTGTTCTTTCCAGACTGAGGAAGCACAGCCTAGCACTAGCACAAGTACACAGGCCCCAGCCGCTTCCCCCACTGGTGTAGTTCCTGGTACCAAATATGGTAAGCCAAACCTCATGGGGCTATTGACAGTTGGAAGGTCCTAGTTGTTGTCTGTGTCTAGTAAGAGTTTCTCTCCCTTTGTGGGTGTCAGAGGGACACTTGGGGATGTGAGAGAAGATGACCATTAAGACCTGCTGCATCTCCGTGGCTTAGAATTTGAAGTAAAGCCAGTTTCTTTATCTGGAATGACCGTATGCTGGATTTTGTTTTTGCAGCAGTGCCTGACACATCCACTTACCAGTATGATGAATCTTCAGGATATTATTATGATCCGACAACAGGACTGTACTATGACCCCAATTCACAGGTAAATACACTTTTCCTCCTCAGCGTCACTAAAAATAACTTTGTTTCACTTAGTCCATCTGTTAGACATGAAATAAAATACTTCCTATAAAGGAACAAATGACCCAGATTAGTTTTAAGTTCTTCAGAACCACCAAGATGTAATTCCTATTTTAGAATTTTAATTTTTAAAGGTTAAAAAAATGTTTTGAGTTACAACGTACATACAGAAAAGTACACAGGAGGGGTGCCTGGGTGTCTCTGTCAGTTTAGCATCCAGTTCTTGATTTCAGCTCATGATTTCATGGTTCATGAGTTCAAGCCCCATATTGGGCTCTATGCTGACAGTGCAGAGCCTACTTGGGGATTCTCTCTCTATCTCTCTCTCTCTCTCTCTCTTCCTCTCCCTCTCCCTCTCTCCCCCCCCTCTGCCCCTCCCCAACTCACATGCACAGTCTCTCTTTTTCCTTCCCTCTCACTCAAAAATAAACTTCAAAAAATATAAAAGAAAAATATACAGAGCTGAAGTGTACATTTCTTTGAATGTTTATATGTATACACATTCATATACCTATCAGCACAGAGAGGAAAGAACATTCCTGGCACTCTGAAAGTTCCCTTATGCCCCTTGTTGGTCAGTACCCACCCCCTTCAGTAACCACTAGTCTGACTTGACTTCTAGTACCATGGATTATTTTGTCCAGTTATTATAGGGGGCTGTTAGTCATTATGTAAAGACCTAGATCGAAGTTTTAAATTGTAGTTTGTCTTTCTGTGTATTTTTTTTAGTTGAGATGAAATTCACATGACATAAAATTCACTTTTTTTTTTTAAGATTTTATTTTTGCATAGGGGCACCTAGGTGGCTCAGTCAGTAAGCATCCGACTTTGGCTCGTGTCATAATCTCGCAGTTTGAGTTTGAGTCCCGCATTGGGCTCTGTGCTGACAGCTCAGAGCCTGGAGCCTGCTTAGGATTCTGTGTCTCCCTCTCTCTGCCTCTCCCCCACTTGCACTCTATCTCTCGAAAATAAATAAGCATTAAAAAATAGTAAAAAAAAGATTTTATTTTTGCATAAACAGAGTGTGGGGCTTGAGTTCACAACCCTGAGATCAAGAGTCACATGCTCAGGCACCTGGATGGCTCAGTCGGTTAGGCCTCCAACTTTGGCTCAGGTCATGATCTCCCAGCTTGTGGGTTCGAGCCCCTGGTCAAGCTCTATGCTGATAGCTCGGAGCCTGGAGCCTGCTTCAGATTCTGTGTCTCCCTCTCTCTCTGCCCCTCCCCGAGACGCGCGCGCGCGCGCTCTCTTTCTCTCTCTCAAAAATAAACATTAAAAAAAAAGTCACATGCTCTACTGACTGAGCTGGCCGAACACCCTTAAAATTCACCCATTTTAACCCATTTAGAATGTATAATTTGAATATAGTAGCAATGTTGTGCTACCATCACCACTAACTCCAAAACATTTTTTAAATTTATTTTTAGTTATCTTTATACCCAACATGGGCCATAAACTTACAACCTTGAGATTAGGAGTTCCACGCTGCTACCAACTGAGCCAGGCACCCCTTAAAGTTTATTTATTTATTTATTTTAGTAATCCAAAATATTTTCATCGCCCTATAAAGAAACCATGTACCCATTAGCAGTCACTTCTTTTTCCCTCCTTACCCCAGTGACCACTATTTGCTTTCTGTCTCTATAAATTTGCCTTAGAAGAGGCATTTCATATAAATGAAGGCTGATAACATATGACCTCTTGGTGTCCAGCCTCTTTTACTTAACATCCTGATATATTCTTGAGGGTAGAAATTAGCAGATCTGTGGGGTGATGTTTTATTTTTGGTAGTGGTAGATTATTTTAAAGAGGTAAGGCAACTTTAACACTCCATAAATAAACAATTACTTATGACCAGGGGCTGTATATAAATAGGAAAATAAATGCTTTTAATAGGTACTTGGTATTGAGAGCTTGTGGTTTCTGAGAAAGAGGTGTGAAGCTGTGAGGGACCTGCCTAAGCAAGCCAAGCCTTGCATGGTTCTTCCGCTCCTCTTGCTTGTGAAGTCTGACCAGTATCCAGGCAATTCTTAGTGGCCATGTTTTTGTTGTGGATTCTACGTCTGACCCATACCACCTTCCCCAGAAGAGACCTAACAGTTGTCTCTCATGGGTACTTGCTGAGCAATTAGAGCAAATAACTAAAGAATAAAGAAATGGAGAGATGGGTGCTACGTATCTGCCATTGCAGTTCTTCGTACATACATCAGATCTGGTCTTCCAGGCTCCTGACCTGGCTTTTTAAAACCCTGTGTTTGGTTGCCTGGGTTTCCAAAAAGTTTTGATGATTGAACCTAGTGATGAGCTGTTAACTGGTTGTCATGTAGGATGTGTGATTAAAAGCTCCTTCTGAACAAGGGGAGTCTGGCTGGCTCATTCACTATACCATGTGACTCTTGATATCAGGATTGTGAGTTTGAGCTTCACATTGGGTGTAGAGATTACTTAAAAAATAAAATCTTTAAAAAAAAAAGCTCCTGCTGAACCACCTGTTTTGGTCTCCTGGTTTGTATAAATATAAACAGTCTAGGGAAAGGAGTGAGACAAACTTTATAAAATTTGTATGTTTTGGTTTTTTTGACAAAATAATTTTTCATGCCTATATGATAAAATAATCCCTTAGTGATTTGACGAAAGAGAAAGTCTGCATTAATTGTGCTTTGTTTCTAGTACTACTACAATTCCTTGACCCAGCAGTACCTTTACTGGGATGGAGAAAAAGAGACGTATGTGCCAGCCGCGGAGTCCACCTCTCACCAGCAGACGGGCCTACCTCCTGCAAAAGAAGGGAAAGAAAAGAAGGAGAAACCCAAGAGCAAAACAGCCCAGCAGGTGAAACCATGACCCAGCCAGGGGACTTTGAGTTCTCTCTGGGGTATTGGGCTTTTTTTTTTTTTTTTTTTAATTGTGGCCTCTCAGATTTATTTAGATATTTTTTTTTTAATGTTTATTTATTTTGAGACAGAGAGAGACAGAGAGAGACAGAGCTTGAGGTGGGGAGGGGCAGAGAGAGAGAGGGAGACACAGAATCCGAAGCAGGCTCCAGACTGTCAGCACAGAGCCCAACACAGCGCTCAAACCCATGAACCGTGAGATCATGACCTGAGCCAAAGTCGTACGCTTAACCGACTGAGCCCGGCGCCCCAGCTGTATTTAGATTCTTAAAAAGCTGGGCCACACATTTAATTTACATTAAGTTCATAAAACATTTTGTAATTTTTTAGTATTACCATAGTTGTCTGTTAGTTGCCTGTATACATACTTAGAGGGAAGTATATCCTAAAAGACTCCCAGGCTTTCAAGCAGCATTCATTAATGATTTTGTTTATTGGGGCACCTGGGTGGCTTAGTCGGTTGAGCGTCCGACTTTCGCTTCGGTCATGATCTCACGGTTCGTGGGTTCGAGCCCCGCGTCGGGCTCTGTGCTGACTGCCAGCTCAGAGCCTGGAGCCTGTTTCAGAGTCTGTGTCTCCCTCTCTCTCTGACCCTCGCCTGCTCACGCTGTCTCTCTCTGTCCTAGAAATAAATAAAAACATTAAAAAGTTAAAACAATGATTTTGTTTATATGCGATAGCATGTCATGATATTTGTAGGTAGAAGTAAAGGTAAAGGGGGTTTTGTTCCAGAGTATCTGATTGAGGTGAGATCCTTAATGGCTTCTTACTGTGGCACAGAAGATGACTGTTGTCTAAACTCCTATATCTAAATGTTTGGGTTTTTTTTCCCACGGTTGTTTGGCATTAGATCGCTAAAGACATGGAACGCTGGGCAAAGAGTTTAAACAAGCAGAAAGAAAATTTTAAAAATAGTTTTCAACCTGTTAATTCCTTGAGGGAAGAAGAGAGAAGAGAGTCTGCTGCAGCAGATGCTGGCTTCGCTCTCTTTGAGAAAAAGGTAACAGTAGCAGGAATGGCCATACTTTGTCATGGGAACTTAAGTAAAACTTGAAGCTTACGACTGGTTTCTCTGTTTCCCAGGGAGCCTTAGCTGAAAGACAGCAGCTCATTCCAGAATTGGTGCGAAATGGAGACGAGGAGAATCCCCTCAAAGTAAGGAAGGACCACCAGTGTGTTAAGGCCATTTTTGTGGTTTGTGTCTCACTATGAATCTCAGCTTCATCTTGGCTAATGTGATTCCTACTTAAAACTGGATGTGGTCACTGTCGGTGGGTATATAGAAAAGCTTCTGCACATAGAATCCATGTCTAGAGCTTTGTTTTCTGGGTTAGAGCTGGAGAGATGGAGCAGTGAATGAAGTCAAATTCCTAAGTTCAGTTGAGTTTTACTGCATTTGTAAATAGAGGGATTTAACGGTTTGGAAAGAGAAAATTAAGACAATAAAACGTGTTTTACTTGATAGATACTGGTCTGGGTGGGCCATTACTCTGATCTGTCATTTTTGGGGTTTTCGTCTGTGGTGAGTAGTTTTGAAAACAGCCATCCAGGAACTTTTCCTGGGCCCCAAGGGATTTACTACCAGGAGGCTATCAGGCCCAGAGCTTGAGGACCTGACTTTTGTATACAGCTGGATAAAATGCAATTCACTGTTAAAGTATGGCATGGGGCAGTGGGAGTTCTCATACTTCTTGGATTACACATTGCTTTATCCAGATACATAGTCATCACTGCTTCCTACTGTACATTTCCAATGACCCGCCCTTTTGTCCCCAGAGGGGTCTGGTTGCTGCTTACAGTGGTGACAGTGACAATGAAGAGGAGTTGGTGGAGAGACTTGAGAGTGAGGAAGAAAAGCTGGCTGACTGGAAGAAGATGGCCTGCCTGCTTTGCCGGCGCCAGTTCCCCAACAGAGACGCCCTGGTCAGGCACCAGCAGCTCTCAGACCTTCACAAGGTGCCCATACTGCTCTGAGTGATCAGAGGCAGGGAGGGGAGTCAATACAGGTGCCCTGACATTGAGTGAATGCCTTTTAGAAGACTATTCTGACTATAGTCTGTTCCAGAACATAGAGTGCCAAAGAGCATGGCAGCTTGAAAGCCAAGCTCTGGTTTTCATGCCGTAGTGTATTGATTGGGCTTGGACTCTTAGAATGAATAGGGATTGATAATGTTATGATATTTCTAATTAGGATGGTCTGAATTCTTACTACGTTTGTCAAATCTCTTGTACAGCAAAACATGGATATCTACCGACGATCCAGGCTGAGCGAGCAGGAGCTGGAAGCCTTGGAGCTAAGGGAGAGAGAGGTGAATGAGGTTCACTGCCACTAGAAGTATCTTTTATTTGCTTTTAGCATTTATTTGTAGGACTTAATTCCAGGTCCCAGGGGCAAGGTAGGATTTCTCACACCACATGTCACCCAACCATTGTGGCTTGTGTCAGATTATAGATGCTTTGTGAGCTCTCTGCACCATCTCTTCATGAGGATGCACAGAAGCACATCCTCAAGACTGCTCACAAGTTCTGGATGCCAAATACTTGCTGGTGAAGTATACTGGATTTTAGTAAAGAGAAAGAGATAGTCTGGCTTGCAACGAGGGAGATATCAAATTAGGCCCAGGGGATATCAGGGCATAAGACAGTCGCAAGTGATACAGAAGGAAGCAGTGGGCAGGACAGGGTTTGGTGTGAAGGTAGCAAAAGCAGGTGGGGCCGGTAATGGACAGGCATTTGATGGTTCATGAGGCAGGTTGAAGGCCAGCCAGGCTTTAAATACAAATTGAAGGCCATGGTTAGAAATCAACCAGTGGGCAAGTTACGTGAAATTTTTCACTCCATAATAATTTTGTAGTTTGGGCTATCTGTAGTTCGGGCCTTTGCTTTTCTGTTCTTTTCCACTGTTTATGGTGCTATCTGTCCCTGGAGATGGGCCTGTCCCAAGTGGTAAGAGGAATGGCATTTCTGCCCTGCCCTTCCTCTAGGACTCTGGGAGGCTGTACCCATGACCCAGCAGGTCTGTTGAAGAGCTTGACAAGTGATAGCTAATGAAGTAAAATTCCTTGTTGGAGATGTAGCTGTGCCCCAAGTTCCACATACAGTTAATCCCTACAAACCTACCATTTTCTTTTTTTTTTTCTTATACATATTTTTTTTTAAGTTTCTTCATTTTGAGAGAGAGAGAGACAGGGTATGTGTGCATACGAGAAGGGGAGGGGCGGGGGAAAGAATCCCAAGCAGGCTCCACAGCTCTACAACGTCGGCACAGAGTGCGACGCCAAGTTGATCCCATAACCCATGGGATTATGACATGAGCCAAAATCAAGAGTCGGACACTCAACCAACTGAGCCACCCAGGCACCCCCAAACACGCCATTTTCGGTGGCTAAGTACAGTGAAGGAAACAAGGGTGTTTGGTATTTCAGACCACTCCAAAGAAGCCAAAATCCAGACTAGGGAAGTGTTTGAGGGTGTTAATCACGAAGTCTAGGTGCGTTAGATTGTTGCAGCTTCAACTCTGAATGTCTCTAGCACCATCTTTTCTCTCATGTAGATGAAATACCGAGATCGAGCCGCAGAAAGACGGGAGAAATACGGCATTCCAGAACCTCCAGAGCCCAAGCGCAAGAAGCAGTTTGATGCTGGCACTGTGTATGTGTTGTGCACCTTTTCCACTTCATTAGCAGGGTCTGTGGCTGTTTTAAGTAACTGTGTGTTTGCCACTGGCAGGAATTACGAGCAGCCCACCAAAGATGGTATTGACCACAGTAACATTGGCAACAAGATGCTGCAGGCCATGGGTTGGAGGGAAGGCTCAGGTTTGGGAAGAAAATGTCAAGGCATCACAGCTCCCATTGAGGTAAGCAGCGAGATTGGGCTTCAGTGGTTTGCAGGCTTACTCTGGTGAAGAGTTGAGGTTAAAGCACCCAAACAGGCTGGGACCTAGGGGCAGCTTTACTTTTACCACAAAGAGCCATCTCCTCAGGCAAGCACCACCACCCAGTGAGAGTCTGGTTTCCGGCTGCCTCCCTTTATTTCACTCTCCTTTTAAGATGTCATTTGGGAGGAATGGGTGTGGTACCCTACTTGATTTTTCTGGTGTTTTGGTATTTGGGGGTAAAAGCTGTTTTCTGAGATCTGTGTAGTTTTATCTCCTGTTAGAAACAATCCTTTACTTAACACTAACTCATCCAGGTAGCTTAGATTTTGTTAAAGATATACTGTGCTTTAATTTCTTAATCACCATGTAGGTGATCTTGGTTACGATTTAGTAGGATTTTTATCCATGGTAAGAAAGTTCTTTAGTTGCTCAGAGCTCAGATTGAGATATAATCTCAGGATCAGAAGTCCACCACCCACTGGCCTTCTAGACAAGAGCACCACCAGGGACTGTTCCTTCCCCGACCTAGCAGCTCAGCTTAGGTCAGACTCTTCTAGACCATGTTTGTCTTGTGCAAGCGAGTTCTCCTACCATTGGTGTGTCCTGCTACAATCTGCCCATGATTATAAGGCCTTCCTAGGCTTCAGTGGAGTGTTTTAGTGCCCTTGATAGGCACAGAAGTTTGCTGACCAGGCACTGGGGGATAGGGTTGAGGGATGTTTCTGTCTCTCTTCCTTAGTCTATTTTATTCCTTCAGTCCTTAACCCTATTCCTGGTCTCCAAAACTTCCTCTTTTCTGTCCCCAGTGGGTAGTCCTGTTTGGTTGGGAGTCAGCTAGATGAGCCGGGGTTGGCGCGGTCTATACCCTGCCTGCCAGCTACTGACGGAAATTCTGTTCCCCTAGGCTCAAGTCCGGCTAAAAGGAGCTGGCCTAGGAGCCAAAGGCAGTGCATATGGACTGTCAGGTGCAGATTCCTACAAAGATGCTGTCCGGAAGGCCATGTTTGCTCGGTTCACGGAGATGGAGTGAGGCTCAGAGAGAATGGGAGGGCGGGAAAGATGATGAGCTTCTCGGAGCACAAGGAGTGGTACATCTCCTGAATTCACTCTTAGCGCCTGTCTCTTTAAGGGCATGCCTTGTGCTGTTAATAGTTTTTAGGGCGAACCACTCCATTCTACAAGGTTCTCCCACTTAAAGGAGTTCCCCTTATATGGGCTGTCTGGCGAATGGCCTTCCTTCCTGCCAGAGGGCTTGTGAGCTGGCCAAGGGGACAGTGAGTCTTTTATACTTCAGTGTACATAGTGTAATGTAGTGTGTTTTACATGTGTAGCCCATGTCGTGGTCCATCAGCCCCTCTCATTGCTAGAGGGTGTTGAGATGCCCTAGGTGGTATGTGACACCAAAGCCGCCTCTGTCATTTGTTGTGCTGTCTTTTCTTGGCAAAAGCCTTGTGTATATTTGTATATTACACATTTGTACAGAATTTTGGAAGATTTTCAGTCTAGTTGCCAAATATGGCTCCTTTACAAAAGAAATACCTTGAAAAATGAGTGTCTGCGTCTCTTTATTCTTGGGTGACCAGGTGTACAGAGCATGTCTGAGCTCGTTGAGCCTGTTGGTGAGGTAAGTGTGTTAAAAGCTATTTATAAGTAGTATTTTATGCTATTTTCCTTACCCCAGTCATGCTCAGATTCTTAAGTTCAAGAGTTTGTTAACATGTTTTAGAATTCTTCATGGAAACTCAGTCATATCTGAGTCCGCTTTCCCACTTGCCGTTTCTAAAGACCAAAGTGAATATGAGCACTTGTGTTTCTCCAGTTGCCACAGATTGTATTCTAGCATGCAGCATTGGGGTGTTACTGCTCTGCTGGGGTGCAGCAGCTGAGGAGACCCTGTCCCCCACCCCCCACAGCACTCCACTCACCTGTCTTCTCACGTCAGCCGCTGAGGAGCTGTTTCATTGTGTTGCAGGGTTTGCCATTATCTAAATGGGTCATCCCATCCTTGTCATCATCTTCCCCAGCAAAGGCCGCACTTGACAAGGGCAAGAAGTGTGCCTGTGTCTGAGGCTGCTCCGGGACCCAGTGTGGTGATGGGGGATCCACGCTGCCAGGCTGGCTGAACTGAGTGCCTGGGCTCCATGCTTTGCATGTTGTTGGGGGAGGACATCTCAAAGCTAGAGCGCCATAGCTTTCATGAGTGGTTATGTTTTCTCTTCAGGCAGGCCCAGCCATTGTAAAAGGATGAAAAGTGCTCAGGAGGCACTTGTAAGACATAGAGGTGCCCTCAGCCCAGCCTCCCCAGGGATGCCTTGGAAGATGTTGAGGCAAATGCAGAAGCCCCACGCCTGGGCTTCTGTGGGATAGCACTTGAGAACCTCACAACAATGGGTCCAACCAACTGATTCCTGCCTTCCAGGGCTCACCCTGGGAAGCACAGATTGGCCCCACCTCTGAAGCGCTCATGCACCATGGACATGCTGCTGCTCTTTACGCCTGAGCAGCAGACATAACCAACCTGGTTAGGCACATCTTGATGGCCAGCCTGGAAGTTTCTTCCAGGTGAAGACATGCATCCTGAGATCGGGGAAGCTCTTAATTATTCATACCCACCCAGCTCCTCGAAGTCTGAGTAGAAGCTTCGTCCCTGGGGGAGCCATCTTGAGCTCATATCGGCTGCCCCACATCAGGAAGGGTGCTTGGATCTATCCCATGCTACTTGGTGCAGACATTTCCAGTTCTCAGGGTTCCCACAAAGACTGCTCTGGACCATATAGCATCTTTCAGCTTGGTGTGGGCTTTCCTTCAAACGTGAAGTTTGTGTCTGTTCTTAGCAGCCTGAGACAACCCCTCAGAGAAGCTGGAGGCCCTCTTCCACTTCTAGCCTGTCACCAGCATACCCCTCCAGGTGTCTACACCTTTCATCTTGCTACAGAACCCATGAGCCCATTTCTTAAAAGTTTGGCAGGCCATACCTTTGGCTCTGGTCTCCTGCAAGGCTGAATTTGAGAGCTCCTGGGTACTGAATGGCTCTCATCCCCCAGGGCCTGAGGCTGAAGCTCCAAGAGCCCAGGTATCCCACCTTCAGCCCATCATGATCTGCTCCAACCCCAAGCCAAGGAATTGGGTGTGCTGCCCTGCCCAGCCTACAGAGTGCCTGCCCCTCCCCATGCCTGATGGGGTCCTGTGAGGGCAGTGCAAACATCCTAATCAGGGAAACCCAAGTTCCAAATTTGGCAGGGTCTCTTGCTGAACTGGAGGGATCCTCCAGGGATCCCAAGTCCAGCCTGCCCTTGGCTGGGACAACTGCAATATTCAGGCTTTGAGGGCCATCCAGGAGCAGCTGTCATGGCCATGCATCAAACAAGTTTCAAAGCCCAGATGAGCAGCCAGGCCTGAGCTAAGCTCCCCAGGCATGCACAGTCTGACTGGGGGGTCTCAAGGGCACCCAGAGTCCAGCCACTCAACCAGATTCCGAGAGATGAATGTTCTCAGGGACAGGTGGAGTGTGAGGGGGAGATGGCCCTGGAGGAGGGCACTTTGCTGGTGGTGGCCACCAGGTGGCAGCACTCCATCATCTATTGAGCTAGGCTGGTTTAGGCAGTGGGGGGTAGGGACTCACCAAGTTCTGAGGTGCCAGAGGGTCCCAGGCCACATCCAGGTCTTTGAGATTCAGGGAAGACCTGATCAGAACTCTGGCCTTGAAATTGTGGCGCCAAGCAGGCAACAAGTTTTCAGACCCTGCAGGTTCTTGAAGGTTCCCCTACCACCACCACCACCACCCACCCCCGTTCCCCCAGGATTCCCACCAGCTAGAAGGAGAATTGTTGCCCAGATGTGGGAAATGGGCCAGGCTGGTCCCATGCACAGTGAGTGCTTCAGTCTCAGCAATTCTTTCCAACCTAGGTAAATAATTTCTGCAGTCGATAAAATGCATTTCTGCCTCTCACACTCCCCTTAACCATTGGCCTGATTATTGACTCACAGAAATACTCTCTGGGCAGAGCCCAAAACAGATCCACAGCCAGTCTCCAGCTAGGGGGAATCGGGGCAAGCTTGCCCAGGGATCTCAGCTGAAGGTGGGAGATACTCACGTGCCCTCACCCAGCCTCTCAAAGATGAAAGGGTGGGGAGCTTTCCAGCAGGAGACACAAATCAAGGGCAGGGCCTTCCCATCCTCTTAGTCCCTGTATTGCTTTCTTCTGGTTTAAAGAGAAAACAGCCCAAAGCAGAACAGTTGCTGGAGGTTACAAAGCTGGCAAGTGCTGAGCCTGAGTTCCAACTGAGGTGCCCCTGCCTAGCTGGCTCCTGGGCAGAAGGAAATCAGCAAAGATGGGTCCGTGGCTGCAGGCACAGGGTCAGGCTCAGGCTTGGGCAGCACTATCTCTACCCGAGGAGTTGAGGGTGGAGAGAGCTGAGCTTTGGGACGCCCCATCACCACCACCACAATGCCATGGGGGGAGAGAGAAGACAGGGAGACGAAGAGAAAAAAGACAACTGCAGACAAAGCAAGGCCTAGAGGATGCTGGGAAGAGGAGCAGGAAAGGTCTGCACTGCTGCAAGGGGCGGGAGGAGCCTGCGGGGGCAAGATAAACGTGGGGTAGGGGTGGCTGGGTCTGGGGGAGTCAGTTCCGCTCCACCCCTCTGGCCTCAGCCGCCCAGATAAGACAGCTGAGCAGCAGTGGTGAATTCTACGTGCTGCATGGGGGAGGTGAGGCCACAGCAGGCAGGGAGAGAGGAGGGGCCAGCAGGTCTGGTCCAGACCCCCACTCTCCTGCCAGACTGAAAGGCCCCCAAGAGCCTGATGCACCCAGGCCAGCTCCCAGCTCTGGGCAGGCAGCACCACCCCCAGAGTCCTGCTAGACAGGAGCTATTTGAGAATGATTCATGAACGTAATTAAATGTCCCCCCACAATCCCTCAGCTCCAGCCCTGATGGGGATGTTGCAGATGTGTGAGCCCAGCCGGCTGTGCAAGGGTTGGGTTCAGTGCAGGGTGCCCCAGGATGCCCATCTGTGGAGCCTAGAGCAAATCTGGGGTGGGGGGCCACCAGGGTTGGGGGCTTTCTCCTCTTTATCTTTCTGCCGACTCCTTGGGCCGAGGGTCAGCCCTCTGTACTCACAAGCATTCCGCAAGAGTGCGCATGCACATGCACGCACAGGCCCAGATAGTCATCCCGCAGCAGGCATTCAGCAGCAGCCTCGATGACGTGTTTGTGGGGTAGGACACTCAAGATGCCTGCAGACCCCAACAGCCCCACACGTGTGTGAAGCATACAAGCTCACAGGTACCTCTCCCTGACGCCCTGTACATGGGCAGGCCGAGTGCAGTCAGGAAACTCGCCGCCTCAGAGCCTTACAGCCTGCTCTGGCTCAAGGAGGTAGAAATCAGACTAGCTGCCGCTGAAGGAAGGAAGCCTAGTGTAGCAGCTAGGTGGGAGCTCGGCCATGGTGTGGCAGGGCTCAGGCTGTCAGAGCACAGGCTCACCCTTGTGTACGCATGCAGTCACTCTGGCTCCCTCCTCCCCAGGTGGGAGGATTTGGGGGTCCTCACCTTGAACAGGCTCTTGAATTCACTTAACAGAGTCCACTGCTCAGCTCTAAGGTTGAGAGGTAGAGCTGAAGTGGAAGGAGAGGCTGAGGAAGGTGGCATAGTGCTCCTGAAATAGATTGGCTCAAAGCTCAGAAAACGTTCCCTCCTAATACCCGCAACCACACCTAGTGGGGAGTGGAGGAAGCAGCCTTCTCAAACAAACTGATAAACTGAGGCTCAGAGATGGGCAGCAGCAAACCCTGGCTAATAGAGTTCATTAACAGCTCATGGAAACCCAGGGCTCCTGGGGTGCCTGGGTGGCTCAGTCGGTTGAGCATCCGGCTTTGGGCTCAGGTCATGATCTAGTGGTTCGTGGGTTCAGGCCCTGTGTCAGGCTCTGTGCTGACAGCCAGCTCAGAGCCTGGAGCCTGCTTCTGATTCTGTCTCCCTCTCTCTCTGACCCTCCCCTGCTCACGCTGTCTCTCTCTCAAAAAAACAAAAACAAAAAAACATTAAAAAAAGGAAACCCAGGGCTCCTACTCCTAGTCATTCTGGTGTCCTATCCCACCCAACACTGGGCTCTACTACTCCCCACCACCCCCCCTCAGGCTTTGGGTCCCCAGAATCCACTGGGCTCTGCCTCCTCCCTCAGACAAGGATCTCCAAGGGCTAGATGGACTCTGTCTTCTCCCCTTGGACTAAGCACCCCAACACTAGCTTGATGAGGCCTCTCCTCCAAAACTAGGACCCCCAGCCCAAGCCCCCCGGGCTCTATCAGACTCCGATGCAAAACGTGAGTAGCTACCACACGCCGCTGTCGCTTCCCCCCCCACCCAGATTTTTCTGGTTCTTATTAATGTAAATGAAATCTGCTCCGAGCAAGCGTCCTTAATGGAAAGCGTTCCTGGAATTTGTGCACACGTGGTGGAGGGGGGGGCACCCTGAGATTAACTCTTGTGCAGCCAGACAAGACACATCAGACTGCAGTGACCCTCTGGCCTCAGGCTGGGGTGGGGCTTG